TCCTGAGCAAATTGCACGGAAGTCTCAGGCGGGAGCGGGGGTTTTCATTAAATTGCGAGGAAGTCTTAGGCGGGAGCGCCGTTCCTGAGTCAATTGCGTGGAAATGTCAGGCAGGAGCGGGGGTCCTGAGTAAAATTCGAAGAAGTCTCAGGCGGGAGCGCCGTTCCCACGTAAATTGCACGGAAGTCTCAGGCGGGAGCGGGGGTCTTCATTACATTGCAAGGAAGTCTCAGACGGGAGCGCCTTTCCTGAGTAAATTGCGCGGAAGTCTAAGGCGGGAGCGGGGGTCCTGAGTAAAAATCGAGGAAGTCTCAGGCGGGAGCCGTTGTTGTTGTAGCCCGGGGGGCAGGGGCACAGTTTGAGCAGGAAGATTTTCTTTGAGAGAAAACAAGGTGCGAGCCCCGGGGGTGGCACTTCAATCGAAAAAATCAATGTGCACCGGTGGGGGGGATCAACAATAATTATTCTTCAAGAATGAGAGTTCAACCACAACAATCATTATAATATTGTTCGCTCTTACTTGCCCGTGTGTCATACAAAACGAGTTCCCCACACCCTCGATACCCGCCTTCTTTGTTTTCGATCAAACCCCTTTGGGGAGGTTATTTGGCTTTGCGGGGGGCGGCGGGCTTAGACAGGGGGGAAACCTGAACGGGCGGACAACCCTTCGTGGGCGTACATGCGCCCGCCATTGGAATTGGTGTGGGCCCTGCAAAAAGAGGAGGGGGAGAACGAGGGAGAGTGGGAGGAAGGGAGGGGGAGGGACGAAGGAACAGGGAAAATGCCAGGAGAGAAGGAGCGAAGAGGGGGGCGGTTGATTACAGGCAGAGGGCGAGAGAGAGAGAGAAAGACAGATAAGAGAGGTAGAGGAAGAGAGAGAAATGGGAGAGACAGAGAGAGAGAGAGAGAGCGAGAGAGAGAGAGAGAAAAAGAAAGAAAGAAAGACGGAGGGAGGAGGCAGGAGAGAGGAGGCAGAAGGGAGGAGGGAGAGGAGGGAGAGGGGATAGGGCAGAGAGGCATAAGGATGAGGGAAGGGAGGAGGGAGAGAGAAGGGAGGCGAGGAGGGAGGAGGGAGGAGGGAGAGGGAGGAGGAGCAGGAAGGTAAGAGCGCGGACGTTCGAGAAAGTCTTAGGCGAAAGCGCCGTTCCTGAAGAAAGTCTCGGGCGGGAGCCCACGACCGGTGGGCGATCCCGTGACGGGCGGGTCGGGCGGGTGGGACATTCAAGCAGGATGCCTGAGTATGGCGAGAGCGCGATTCCTAAGTAAATTGTGACGGCGTCCTTGGCGCAGCGTGTTTCCTGAGCGTCGAAAGCGCGATGTCTGAATAAATTGTACGGAAGTCACAGGCGAGAGCGCAACTACTGCGTAAAATGTGAAGGGCTCTCTGGCGGGAGCGGTGGTCTTGATCAAATTGCGAGGAAGTCTTGATTCAATTGCGAGGAAATCTCAAGCGGGAGCGCCGTTCCTGAGTAAATTGTGAGGAAATCTCAGATGGGAGCTAAATTGCGATGAAGTCACAGGCGCGAGCACCGATCCTGAGTAAATTGTGAGGAAGTCTCAGGCGGGAGCGGGGGTCCTGAGTAAATTTGGAAGAAGTCTCAGGCGGGAGCCGTTGTTGTTGTTGTAATACGGGAGGAAAGGTACAGTTTGAGCATCAAGACGTTCCCTGTCAAAAAACAGGGTGCGAGCGTCGAGGAGCACACTTTGATTTAGAAAAAACAGCATGCACCGGTGAGGGGGGATCAATTATAATTATTTTTCATAAATGAAAGTTCAAGAACAACAACAACAACAAAAAAAATATAAAAATAAAAACAGCAGCAACAACAACAGCAACAGCAACAACAACCACAATCACAACCACAGCCACAATAACAGCAGCAGCAGCAGCGGCAGCAGCAAGAAAACAACAACAGCATCAACAATAACAACAACAGCAGCAGCAACAACAACAAATGGCTGGAAATTCCAGCGGCCCTGGCCTCCAGAGGTGGAATCCGTGAACCTCGGGGACGCTAGCCATATCGGGTGAGGAGGGGGGCGGAGGGTGGGGGGCGAACCGGATGGGAGTTCCAGCCGATTTCGGCTTGCGAGCAGCGGCTCAGAGAATTTATGAAATGGGCGCACCG